ACTCATCAGCAATGCACAAGTTGACTGACACGCTGTCTTGGGAAAATCTAGGCCTATTGTTTCGATTTGATAATAATGATAGACAGTGGATAACAGTGGAATCCAAGACATGCGTTTTGTCCTACTTAGGACTCGTCAGCTGAATGTATGTGTTTCCGAAAGAGTGATATTTTTCCCACTACGACTTGAATCTTGGAACGATTTCTTCAAATACTAGAATGTTATCCACAAAGCCATTGAGTTACAATAGCGATAGGCATAGTTTTCATGTTATTGTTTGTAACACTTCAACTTTAAACCCACGTTTTTCTGCATAACAATTTAGGATATTTGTAATCAACTTGTTTTTATAAAGATGCCAAAATGTGTTAGACATGATCTTCTGTTACACTTATGAAATTTATTTAAATACAGTAAAATCACTCTTCAGTATACTCAGACTTCATATACACCCCCCACCTACAATATAGTTCGTGAGAAATGGATAGAAGGGACCACGTTTTACAGTGATGATTCCTTGTTAAGATGAGATCAGGTGAAAATCAAGCCAAACACAATGTGAATGATCCATACTTCCAACTTCTGTCAGTTCACAACATAGTACGACCACCACCCAATATCATCATTGAGTATTTTTCCTAATGGCTACCATGTTTGCCCCACCGGTCACGACTTCTTCTTGGAACTTCTGGAATCCCCTATCCAAACTAGTCATCAATGAAAACTACTTCAATCGAATTTGGGGGGGGGATGGGGGGGGTGAGGGTATTTAGAGATTTTTTTCGACCTAGTAGCTCAATGGCCACGGAATATGAATGATACTTTCATATATGAATATCTCTTACTCTGGTTAGTCAGTATACCTCGAGTACCATCTACAGACTTAGGAAGACAGCTAACATGAAAAACAAGGTAATATAAGGGAAATCAAAAGTTTTAAGAAAAAACTAAACAATTCCATCAATATAATCCATTGTCTAAAACCACTTACCTCATCCACAAACTATGGAGAGACACTGAGACTACGATTTTGGGAACTATATAGGTCAGACTATTTTCCCTATGATATTTACATTATCTTTAAAAAGAAACTAAAACATTAGTTGACGAGATTTACACATCGAATTCTCATTCGTTACATAGAATTAAACTCAGTACAACTAGTAAATTCGTAATAATATCTTCGAAGTTGATCGGTGCTTGCCTTATGGTGGTTGATTGCATTGTGGTCACCTTGTCGACTATAGGATAAATGTAAGAACCAAACAATTCTCTGCGAACAATATTATGCAGACCAAAGGATACAACAACTAAAGACAAACCGAATATCATTTACAAAATCAACTACAATAACTGTAGTCAACACTACATTGGATAAAGTGGTCGCCCTCTTCGCCTTCGTCTACATGAACACCAATTGGCTAATAAACGTCACGACATTTCATCACTCATTTCAATGCACGTGGATATCGACTATGGACATGAATTCAATTTCGACAATGTAGACATTTTGGACGGAGAGACAAAACACAAAAAATATCAGAGAATTCCTAAAAGCTTTGCATTTAGGTCAGTCAGTCAGTAATCAATAGATGTATAGACATAGACCTAATCTATCAACCAGTGGAAAAAATGGTAAACGACAGAAAGGCTAGAGGTCAAGGAGATGAACAGCCAACAGGAAAGTCTATACAGTCAATGACACAACAATCAAAGGAAACAACCAATCATAGACCGCTTCGTCAAGGCAAGCTACTGAATCATTCATGGAGAGATATTGCCAGCTCACTATATGTTGAAGTTAGTGCTGATGATGTTGTCTAGCAAGACGATGAAAACTCCACGACTAAACAACGCAGCTCAGAGAACACAACACAACCAAGACCATCCACCTGAGCTACAAATATTCCCCACTATTTTCTAAATGTATGAAGATCAATATCATTTTAACAAATAACTGTACATTTTGTAGGCATTTCAGACATCTTTGAAGATGCAGTGTTGGAGACTGCAGCAATCCATCATGGTGCACGGAGTTGTGTATTGGTACACAAATAAGGCAAATGAAATGTAAATATTGTGTAAATCACTATGTTCCCTATCAAGGTGAGTGTGAAGCTTGAAAAATAAACTTATTAGACCGAAAAGAGAAAAGTCAATAGTGGATAGTCGCCATAGCAATTGGTTAATGTCTACTAGAGCATAAATACTGGTTGTTTAAAGCTAATATACTAAAGATAAATAAGATTTATTGTCTATTTGAAAAGATGATTCATCTCAGTTGACAATTAGCCGTGTACACATACATTCTATTGAAGTGCCCGTAGAGAGACATCACCTTAATGAAGTAGGAAGATGAGGTAGATCGTTAAAAAAAAAAAGTAAACTGCGGATTGATATTGGTCAAACTGTAGTATGGCGGTAAGTCGAAAATAGTCAAATCCGAATTATGAACGATTTTAAAGGCCATCCAAATAACGACCAAACAACCAATCAGGTGACGGTATTTGAGCTGAGATGATTTTTCATAAAATAGACAAGTCTGATTGGTTGTTCCATCAGTTGCTAGGGTGGCCTTTAAAGTCATTTCGAATTATCACAAACTGGGTAAGGTGAAATGTGAATTCTTTTTGTGTAGGAATAGTCACTATGACAATATCAAACCCTTACCAGTTGAATCATTAAATTTTCGGTAATTCTAATGAACACCCACTGCATGACTAACAAGCTCGACATGTTCTAGCCGCACAGAAAACTTATGATCCATCTGTTCCATGATATTATGAACCTTAAATATTTTCTAAATATATCTGCAATACTGAAGTTCTAGTTTCTATATTCGATGTGTCAAAGTGAAAGCAACAGTAATATGATTCACTCTCGCAATATTGGTTGAAGAAAGTCAATGGACTTCAAGAGATACATTTTACTGAAAGTCATAAGGTAATTTCCATAGGCATCGGCTAACAGACAAAATCAACATAGAACGTCACACATAAGTGCATCACTTCAACTTGCCATATGTGCGGATAGAAAACGACTGATACCATCAAAGTTAACAAAGCTATGTGAGAGAATAAACAATTTAAAGATAAAGGTCAGTGAGAATATTCAAGTGTTAGATGTCGAGGAGTGAATACATCTATGCCACTGTCACCGATTTCCAGCCATATCACCAAAACAAAAGTGGCTATCATGGCTCAGTGGTGTAGTGGATTACGTCTTGGTGTTTGAAGCGATCACTCCCAAGTCCCAATCCCGGTGGGGGAACAACATCACTCACTGGGAGGCAGGTACACATCGGGCTGACGAGTCTCAAATAGGACGGAATGCGCATCCTGGATCCCACTGCTAGCCACTACCCCATCATTACTATACATATCACCAACAGTTCTCAACCAATGATTCCTATTGTCTCGGGATTCCATTTTGGTTGGTCTACGTCTACTCACATGGCTCAGATCAACAGTCAGAAACTTCATCGACTGGTGTCACGTCTTGATCTGACCACACTGAACCCTCTTCCAAAATAGTCAAACTTTCTGTAGCATGTTACGTCGAGGTAGGTGGTAGATCGGCACGGATAACCCATATATAAACCACTTCGCAGCCAATGAAGCTTCAAAACCTCATCAATCGACTCACCTATCATATTTAGTACCCTTCACCTGACCTCAATATTACTCCCATGGTGATTCACCAAACGTGACCAATTCTACGAAGACACTTATGATAAACACCCTTTAATTACAAGAAGTAGAAAAAACTAAGATTTAGATAAACCAAGGTAAACGGAGTTAGTGACCGGTTAAAAATATAAGGTGGATCGAGAAAGCATTAGAGATAACCAGCTGTCAAAGAGAAAAAGTTTAGAAATCGAAAAAAGGATGAATCGTGTATAATTCTTCACCATAACAATACTTTCTATCCCTTTTCATAATGTATGGCAAAAAATAAATAGACGTTATATGACCATAAAACAAGAGGTTAGCCTAATTTGTGTAATTTTCGAAATCCTAGGATCATCCTGGAATAATGTTGTTGTTGTATTATCCTGTCGCACAAGAAATGGCTATCGTGGCTCAGTGGTGTGGTGGATACCGTTCTGGCGTTTGAAGCGACCGGCTCCAATTTCGAATCCCTGTAGGAATATCGCCCACTAGGAGGGCAGGTACATCCGGCTGACGAGCCCGAATATGACGAAACGCACGTCCTGGATTCCACTCCTAGCCACCATCCATCATTAATATATCATTCCAGAATATCAAAAACAGCCTTTACCGAAAGAAATAAGCGGATTTCTTGGCTGCTGTAGAGTATGTACAAATCAGATTCTTGTATAAAATGTTTGCCAGTTAGATTCAGCGAAACTGACTTCCTTTTCGGTCACACAGTCTCATGACAGTGCTCACTACTGAAAAGGGCTTAACAACACTGGTTAACCGTCTCTATGCGATATTGATGAGTAGACGACTGAGGTAGAAATAGTGTTATGATCCAAGGCTATAGATAACGATGCAACGCTCTGAGAGGAATACGATTAACGATAGAACAATGACTCCTCAACTAGATATTCAGCTGACACCAAAAGAAGACGACGAGGCTGAAAATCCACTCCAACCGAATCTAATATGTGAAAACTCAGTCGTTTATGTATCCTTATGTGGCCTTGGATCAGAGAAAACAAAATAGCATATTCAAAGTGTAAAATGGACCAATCAGCGTTTAGTATTCTAAACTGTGGTAAAAATAAGACACATAACATGCCACAAAAAGGGCGCGAAAATAAGGCTTAAACTTTACAATGATAAGAAAATATTATGCTAGTTATCTTAGGGGATCGCCAGCCCTAACAAGTAGACTATTGATCAAATGAGTGACAGTTACAACTATTCTTAAACAACCTGAGCGATGAATTACAACATAAAAAGATGAATATTTAACTTAAAACCACAACTGGATGAATCAAGAGAAAAGAGAAAATTTTTGGAAAAACTTACGTGCAAAAAATCTGTACGTATGCCTTTTTGTTACACGAATATAGAATGGTTCATAGGCTACTCCATTCGAATCAAGAATATTCTGTTTCCCACGTACTAGAAATCCACCAGTCAGTTGAGAAAGGAAGACAATTGATGTTCTATTGGTCAAGACAATATTGAATAATTCCTCTGGAGATGGAGATTGAGTTTCATCAACTGGACGACCGCTACTAGAAACAGCACCAAGTTTACGAGCAGTTAAAGACTGTCCAACACCGCTATCAGATGGAGTATTTGTACGAAATACTAGTTGACGAAGTCGTTTATCACTTGGCTTATTCAAAGTTAACATTTCAAACAGACTATCTTGATCTCTATGATGAGAAAGAAAAACCAATAAAAACTTAAAGTTATTAACTAACAAGCTATTCTAAAATCGATGATACATCTTTCATTAAAAAACCTATAAACTTGCACAAGGATATGAACAAGATATTCTATCTGTATGAACCTCTGTAGGTGCAACACAGTTTGAACCAGTAACTCGACGTTTAGCAGATGAGTAGCAAAGTCAGTGAGGTTCACCTTTCATTAAATTTGTCCAATCGCAATCTAATCCAATGCACAAAACCAGACAAACATACATTAGAAAAAGACTTCATACAAAATACATGTCTCGCAAGTTAAAACACTTCGGCAAAGTAGTAAACAATACAAGTGTCTATGTTAAAACAACAGAAACAATCACAAGGTAGCGTCGCTAAGATGAGGATAATATGTGTATACATCTGCGCCACTGACATAGGTTCTCAGCCATGTCATCACATACAGTCTCCAACCTCTGGTTTATCATGTTCCACGAACCCCAAACACCTAGTCTACATCGCCCACATAGCTCAAACCAACAGTCAAACACTTCATACATTGGTGCCATGTTTTAGTCTGGCCACCTCGTGCCTTTTTCTAGCCTGAACCTACCTCAACCGAAATTGTGTGACGAGGCAATCGGTGACTAGGCATAAGTAACATGTGTCCTAACCATCGCAATCGATGAAGGTTCACAACCACATCAACTCACTTACCTCTTCTCCCTAAAACTCTACGTTTGACTTCTGAGTTACTGACGTGATGACACCACGAAATACGACCTAAACTACAAAGGCAACGGTAATCAAAAAACCTGAAACCTTCTCTAATTTAATATCAACTATTTTCTGCATTGGTGACTGAAGGTGAAATGAAAACTTAGGTCACGTCAGGATTCGAACCAGCGACATCGGGGTTTCTGGCTAGATGCTCTACCAACTGAGTATGACCAGTTATACAGGGACAACTATTCTTTTTCCGAGGAATTAATTGTCCCCTGAAGTCCACTTTTTCCACCTTTCAGCACTTTTTCGTTAGTAATACCACTATGGTGGACAGAAATACACATTTCATAATATTAACAACTCGATTGTTTGATTTTAAATCTTCTTCAGTAGTGTTTTTGTCTCTAGTGTAATCCAAACAGAAGAGTTATCACTTCATCAGAGGAAAAGTTTTCCGCTACACTATCACATTTCTCATGGTAACCCACGATATGCTGATTGATATGAACCTAGAAAACGTGAACCACGATTGAAAAAACAAAAAGGATGTAGGCTTTAAATTACATATAATATCGTCAGTACGTCAAAGCCAGAATCAGAAAAGCAAGACACGCATTCATCAATCTGAAACCAGTGTGGAGATCTACTGCACTCCACTCAGCATAAAGCGTGAACAACATCCAGTTTTTCAACACTTAGTCAGTCAAGTCAGTGCTTCTATATGGTTCAGGAACTTGGCGCGTTACATAAAGTATTCCCAACAAACTACAGACATTCATCAACAGTTGCCGCTACTCTCACTCGATACTCACACTGAAGATCAGATCAGATGGCCAGAATAATAAAAATAAGCAACAAGGAACTCTAGGAACCAGCCAACCAAGAACCCATCGCCTGACAAATATGCAGAAGAAGAAAGTGGAGATGGATTAGGCATAACACTGAGAAGACCATTTGAGGGCATCACGCGTCAGGCTCTCGAGTGGAATCCAAAAGAGCAACGACGAGTTGGGCGTCCGAGGCAAGGGTGACATGGAGGAGATCATGTGAGGAGGAAATGAAAGCTTCTCAGCAGTCATGGAGCCAGGTTAAGAAGAGTGAAGAGAACAGAGTGAAATGGGACATGCTACTGAAGCCGCATATTACAGCACGAACCCAAGGGACAAATAATAATGATAAATATCGTCAGTATTTTGCGTTGAAGTACTTAGATATCATCCATTATTTATGTACAATTTAAATTAATCTTGTAATATCTTGAGTGATAAAATATACAGAACTTGAAACTATAAACACCGAAATGAGAGAAATAGTTACATCGAGTTGGATTCAAAGAAGCCTCGTTATTTCATACTGTTTCTAATTAATCAAGGTGACTTCACTAACAACAAAACGTGCACCACAGTCGCCCCTCACTTCGTTTTCTAGACCAAGATGTGACACCAGTCGATGAAGTTTCTGACTGTTGATCTGAGCCATGTGAGTAGACGTAGACCAACCAAAATGGAATCCCCGAGACAATAGGAATCATTGGTTGAGAACTGTTGGTGATATGTATAGTAATGATGGGGTAGTGGCTAGCAGTGGGATCCAGGATGCGCATTCCGTCCTATTTGAGACTCGTCAGCCCGATGTGTACCTGCCTCCCAGTGAGTGATGTTGTTCCCCCACCGGGATTGGGACTTGGGAGTGATCGCTTCAAACACCAAGACGTAATCCACTACACCACTGAGCCATGATAGCCACTTTTGTTTTGGTGATATGGCTGGAAATCGGTGACAGTGGCATAGATGTATTCACTCCTCGACATCTAACACTTGAATATTCTCACTGACCTTTATCTTTAAATTGTTTATTCTCTCACATAGCTTTGTTAACTTTGATGGTATCAGTCGTTTTCTATCCGCACATATGGCAAGTTGAAGTGATGCACTTATGTGTGATGTTCTACGTTGATTTTGTCTGTCTTTCTGTTTGTTTCCATTTAATAACATATCAACCAAGTAATCATGTATTATCAATCGATGTCAGTCTATCACATACATCTTTCAATCCACAGGTAGATTTTCTCTTCACCTTTAAGGATTCGAACCTTTAAAAAAACACAACTTAGTATGAATGTCGAGTCAAGATAATATACACAACTGTGTAAGTTAGCCCCTCTCCATTTACTGAATATCACAACTTCAATAAACTCATTAAATCTCAGTACTGTTTGGATTCCTATCCCACATTGAACACGAGTAATGTCACGCCACGGAGGCTATATAATTAACTAATACCTACCCATCGGAAGCTGTATTCTTGACACCAGATGAAGGAGCAAGTTTCCATAACTTTCCACTACGTGAACGTAAACGCCAGAATCCTGTTGTTAAAAAGTAGACATCTGAATGAACACCATTGGTAGTAATGGAATGGTTGTTTAACAGACTAGCATTACTATTATTATTATTAGTAGTAGTAGTAGTAGTATTAAATGTATCACCATCTGGACCAGTTATCTGAGCTGGAGTTGGATTAGCTGCTACAGCTTCCAATGCGTTATAACCTTTCCCACCGATATACTCCAATTGAAAGATAGCCGTTTCATCTAATTCATGTTGATTTGCAGAAATTTCAACACCTTTAAATAAAGAGAAGAAAAACTGTTTAGCAACAAATTCGTCTTGACGTTGATTTCGAAAAAAAAATTGAAACAGATTGGTAGAAAATGAGTTACATTGGGATTGCGATGAGAAGTTTTGACTAGGCAGCCAGTGTAAATACGATCACATGGTAGTTGGGTGAAACCCAAGCAGTCGGACCTCACAGCTCACTTGGTACAGTATCGGACCGGAAACCCAGTGGTCACTGGTTCGAATCCTACCGCAGTCAAAACTTTCATTTCACCTTCAATCATCACCTAGTATAAGTACTAGTCTGCCAAACTACGGCTATCTCAGATGGTCAAAATGATAAGAAAATGAGCAGTCATAAAATAGACATGCTCCAACCTAAGTATATAAATGGTGGAAACATCATAATACTACTGTCAATTACTTGTAATAAATAACTGATATTTTAGAAAGCAATGATACAAATCGAGAAATATGAGTAGAGTCTCTAATTTTCAATAAAAATACACAACTCGGTAGTTAATAGATAGAGGGAATTGATCATCAGAATGCAACCAAGGTTATGATATGGATTGTCTGTTCTAGTTACTATATACTTTGACTTTGAGAAATGCAATATATTTTTCAGTAGAAACAATTTAACTTAAGATTTCTCCACCTTGATGGTCACCAGTACTGTAACAGAATATAATGAGGAACGGACAAAAGAACTTACAAATCTGTACAATATTGTATCGAACTAAGTTATTGAATAGAGAAAGAAAATCTGTAGAAGGATAACAGTGTTATTGGAAGAAATAGAGAAGAATATAAACGGGGAAAGAAAAAATTGACAAAACGTTTTGCGTTTTACAGCTAAGTAATAAGTGAATAAATCTATTTCAGTGCAGTTCATTTGGATCCTAAAGATACCAATTATACTAGCCATAGAGTCTACACTTTTCTATGCAGTTTAGATTAGCAACACTATGTGACTTTATGCCCAACTACAATGTCTTAGCCTCTACTTAGCAATGCATGTCCAGGTAGGAGGTCACTCATGATGGCTAACATGAATAATCCAGTCAACTCAAGGTTGTAGATATGCCTTGTTTAAGAGTGCTAACAAGCCCAAAACCTAGGTTCAAAACTTCCATTTGATTCCCTCCAACTATCGAACATCGTTGAAAGTATACTATGATACTACTGAGTTTCCTAGCTAAGTGACTACATGATAAAATGGTCGACAGAATTCGATTTTTACTTGGAACAAGACAACATGAACTCTGTTACTCCCCAGTGACCAATCGACGAATTTCACTAACTACAGATGTATAGATTAGTTGACTAACTTACTGTCCTTCGCTAACACTACATCCAATCCAAATCTATCACACACTGTGTATCCACCATACATCGTTCAGATAACAAGTCAACAATGAAAATTCTGCATCACCACAGTTATTGAAACATGACAATGACACTCAAACTGAGGAAGCTCGATACTATCTCAAGTCTGCTGTATAAACACGATCAAAAACGGTAATTATCAGAAAAAGAATAAGAAAGGTTTAATAAATCTCACACACTCTCCTAAATAAATGGATTCACATGAATGTATTCCTACAAGCTCCAAACATAATAATGGGTGGAAGCAACTTAAATATAGACCTAATATAGGTGCAAAACTTGATCATTGTGGTAGAATGTAATTTCACATTAGGTTTGTTTATTCGATATGTAAACCTCGCCTGGTTAACTAGTTCACTAGTTACACTGAGAAGGCCGACTTCGGATATCACGTGTCAGATGTTCGAGTGGAACCCAAAAGGGAAACGACGAGTTGGACGTCCGAGGGTGACATGGAGGAGATCGTGCGAGGAGGAAATGAGAGCTTCTGGGTTGTGGTGGAGCCAGTTTCAAAAAATCTCAGAGAGCAGAGCGCATTGAAGACGTGCTACTGAAGCCGTATGTTCCACTAAGAACCCAAGGGGGAAAAAATAAATAGTAAAATAATCATATCAATGTAATCATACTCCACTTTCCACGCCTGATTTTTATACATTGGTAGTACAATCCTTTCCATATCTCTGGTATAGGTGTTGCATCACTCCTATAACATGGGCTGGTTGGGTGTTGTTTCCATGAACAAGGATTCAGTGATCGATCTCTCTATCCACAAAAATCCTATATACTAGCAGACATATTTATGGATAATTGGCAAAACATGGCTTCATAAAAGTTCAATCCTGCACTTAAGATATGCTGGCCAGATGTAGATGACAAATTTACTGTTTTCAATCACAGCATATCAACAATTTCCTCACACATTTAAACTCAATTGTAAGCACAATCCAATTCACTTACCTATGTTACATTGAAGGATAAAAACGAAGGACAGATGGTGGTTTGGATAATACCATCTTCACGAAACAAACACATTCTTACAGGTATCTACACTTCAAGTCATCTCAACCAATGTTAGTGTTAAATTAAGGCAGGTTTACGCAAATGTCTAAATGATACAGCTACAAAACTAACTAGTCAGTACAAGCGCCTAATAAAGAAATTGAAGCACATAACACAAGTGCTAACAATTAGTCAATAATTATCGTCTACAGTTAATCACGAAATTCGTATGAACACACAAAAACCAAATGATGAGAGTAACACAAATAGAAAGGAGTTCACAGTATCTACTGTGTTACCCTGTAAGGAAGGTACATCAGGAACTTTATGTAGGATCCTCAGCAAAGTTGAAATTAGGTTGGTATTTAAAGCTACAAACTCATTCAGAGGTAAGTTTTGTCGGGTGGCTATAGCATCCCAGAGAACTAATTAAACAAAATAATCTAATCTATCAAATGTAGTGACTGTGAGGTCAAGTACATAGGTCAAACTAGTCGGTCGGGGTCAGGGTCAGTTAGTTTAGTGGAACATAGGAATTTAGCTTAATATAGAATGACAGACCCGAATGAGATCAATAACCTAGAAAAACACTCAGTTATTACAATGGATGCATTAACACACAATCACACAATCGAGTGGGTAGGATAAAACCACTGTACTTAAGTCCAAAATAATTAGGTGGAGAGACAGAGAGATTGAGTACTGAGGCTTTGTTCATCGGATCTACACCCAAAACATGTAACAGAAGTGACGCAATACCTATACCGGAGATAGGGAAAACTTTACTACCAATAGGAACAAAGAATAAGAGGTGATAGGACTATAAAATCCAGGTGTCGAAAATGGATTGTGATTACACTGACATGAGTATGAGAAATGTTAATTTATGCTTGGAACGTGGTCATCAAGTAAATAATACTGTATCACTGTGCGCTATACATCAAATAAACAAATCTAGTACGGAATTAAATATAGACTGACAAAAAGTCTGCACTATGGTCCTGAGTATAGGTGAGCAACGAAGGCTGAAGGGATGGCAAAGATGACGGAGTCCAGCAATAACAGACAATTATTTAGACTAATCAAGGAATCTGGGATTAATAATAGATTGGTTAGTGTGACTAATGTGGAGAAGAACGGTGTTAGGGATGCCTTATATTCCATACTTAGTTTGAGTATATTTGGACTTTTTTTTACTTCACACTCTCTTTCCCGTACATGGGTTATATTTCTTATGACCCGTTAGCCTTCTGGTTAGTTCCTGCCTCTTTAAATGTACTTTATGTCCTTGCCCCTCAAGGTTACTGTAAACTCTATAAATACGGTCCGTTTTGGTTAATAAACGTTCGCAGTCCGAGATATTATAAACTCATCTGATCTCCAGTCTTTTGATTTCTGTTTGCGAATCACTCGGGTTGAATTATTTCAACCCTCGACTATCCATCGTGAAGCATTTTCGTTCGTTCTCACAACACCGCATAATAACAGGTCCGTGATGCACTCTACAGAGACAAGAGGAACAATGGGTGGAACATTTCCAGGAAAAATCCAACTGGCCTCCAGTTACTCTCCGACCATACGTTAGGCACTTAAATCCTGAGCGTAACATTTAAATGCAGCCTCAGACCCTTGCAAAAGTCTAGTAGCCTGAAGCGAGTAAGTGTGGTAGGCCCCGATGGACTAGTATCAGAGGTATTTAGGATGGAGGTCGACTGAAGTCTTATCTAACGTATGGAAATGAGATATGATTCCTTCTGGCTGGCCTTAGTCACTGATTTTCTCAATCTTCAAGAAAGAAGAATAATCCTACTTTGGTAACCGCAGGAGAATAACTTTGGAAAAAATAGCGTCCAAAATTTGATTGTCTATTTGATATAGTACACAGTGATACAGTTACTCTGTTATGAATATCAGCAATAAATCCTGTTTGAAACAATCCAGTAAATAATAATGTATTACTGTGTGATATATCAAATAAACAATATAATATGGAATTATGCTTCCTCATACTACCCAAGTTTTACCTTTACAATAGTCTCTAAGACTCAAGGTTATACAATCATCAGATGCCTGAGTGAAACTCAGGAATAGCGAACCTGAGAAGACTAGACAGGTGGTGGTTGTATTGACCAGATTACCCTCCATCAGGTCTTGGAACACAGGTAAATTTACCGGTGCCAGACACTGATTGTATTTGTTGATCTGAAAATGCCATTCGACTAAGTCAGCCAAGAGGCTTTATAGCAACCTATCCCATCAAAACAGGCGCCCGGTAAGTATGTTGCTGTATTGAAGGCTTTATACACAAAAACTCGTTGTCATGCTAGAGCGTATGGTGAGCTACCAAGCGAATTGTGTACTTTGATTGGCGTCCATCAAGGATGTCAACTCTCTTCAACATTATTTAACATTGTCATCGACCTACTTATGTTGGCTTATTTTTCCTCGTCTGGCTGTGCAGCAATTGTCCCAGTTAAAGAAGACTCCCTCGTAGACTTAGAGTTGGCAGATTCTTTTGCACACTAAGAATGACGATCCAAAAATGTTTGTGATAAGCTTTGAACCTTCCAAAAGTAAACTATTGCTTCACAACTCGTCTGCATCAATACCTCGTCTAATGGTAGAGAGAGAGAGAAGTGGTTGAACGCACTAATCACTTCACTTACTTGGGAAGTTGAATAGGCTATGATAGATCAGTGACTGAAGAAATCCCTGAACAGATACAAAAGGCTTGATTGGCATTGATTAACTTACATCATCTATGGCGCCAATGTGATACCTACTAAGCACCGACTGTACTATACAGCACTGTGCTCTTCTAGTTTATGTTTGTGATATACAGCCATTAGAGGTGGACGATATGATAAGTTATTCACTTTGTGAAAATCAAAAGGAAATCGGACAATCGCCCTTCCAATGACATCGAACGGGACGGATAAATTCACTCTCACACTTAACACCCTATTACTACTAAAACATCTTGGTGGGACAGCGGAGACAAGTAAATAATCTACCTGATATTTCTAGTGTCATTGAGAGAAAAAAAATACCCTTCTTCCTTTAAAATTCTACAAAAGTGGCTGTGTAACTAAAGAAACTCTAAGGAACGAGAAGTAGTGCCTGTGGCTAATGATTCTACAGCAAGCACCTCACAGAATATAGTTTGCCAAAAGATTTGAAAAGGAGAAAGGTTGGTTAAGACAGTGACTGTATTCATAACAGATGATATTTGCAAACGTTTCCTATTCTAACGGGTCGAGACTAGTACGAAAGTAGAAACACTAAAATGAAGGAGTTCCAAGCATATTGTTTTAAGTCCTATGAATCCTAAGGAGTTGAACAAAGCTATGACGAAAAAACATCAGAGGTGTTTTGTGAAGGACTGGATGAATCATGTTGCTCGAGTTTATAGAATTTGCTTATATAAAGATGATCCAACTTGCTCTTAACAAATAACACATTTAGTCACACGTTAATTAAGAAATCAATGTGCACTTATACAAGAAGAATGTAGTTGTTCAGTTTAATCTTATAGAAAACTTTTGTAGGTTAGAAGTTGGATAAGAATATTGGGGTTTCGATGGTTAAAATATATTTATATTTCGCAGGTTAAAAAGAAGTTTCTTGAAGATTTCATATACCTTGTTTCCTATGATCATCAAGTTATATGCACAAATCTAGACCCAAATAAATGTCTTCAAATATCTGATTGGCAGGTTACTTACTTTCCTATATTTTCCCCTTTCATTACCACTAACAACTAATTGATTGAATGTCTTTAATTATCTGAAGAAAATTTCTCACTAATCTTTTTCAGTTTATTACATCTATAGATGTATATTTTTTTTGATAAATTCAGACATAAACAAAGTATAAACTACTCTAACAATCTTTACATAGAAACAAAGTGGACCACACAAGTACTTTCTTAAGAAACAACAATTGCCTTACAGAGAGAGATATTGGCAATCATATAGCAAAATATTAAAAAAAACATAAAACCAATTTATTTTTGAGATGAATGGGGATTTTTAATTTAGAAGTAGTATTCATCATGGACTGACATCAGTTGGGGAACCCTTGAAAATCTGGGAGCACTGGACAGCTGTTTCGTCCCACTAGTATGGGACTCCTCAGCAGTACCACTGGAAACCGACCCAGTGGCTGAATGGTTAACCCGTTCGCCGTGAAACCTGAAGGTCTTGAGTTCAACCCCTAGCCGGGTCGTGGGTGCGTACTGCTGAGGAGTCCCATACTAGTTGGACGATACAGCTGTCCAGTGCTCCCAGATTTTCAATGGTTCTTCAACTGATATCAGTCCATGATGAATACTACTTCTTAATAAAACCAATTTATTTTGAGGTGAATAGGGATTTTGATTTTGGAGGTAGTATTCATCACTAATGTCAAGTCAGTGTTTCTATACGGTTCAGAAGCTTAGCGCGTCACAAAAAGTATTTCCAAAAAACTACAGACATTCATCAACAGCTGCCGCCTACTCTCTCTCCCTCTCTCTCTCTCTCTCTCTCTCGATACTGACACTGAAGATCAGATGGCCAGAAAGGATAAGCAAGGAGGAACTCTCTCTGCCTGGCAACGAACTAATCAACAACCCGTCGCCCAACAAATATGCAGAGGAAGAAAGTGGAGATCGTTTGGATTGGACACACACTGAGAAGACCATTTGAGGACATCATGCGTCAGGTCAGGCCGTCGAGTGGAACCCGCATGAGAAACGACGAGTTGCGTGTCCAAGGCGAGGGTGACATGGAGGAGATCATGTGAGGAAGAGATGAAAGGTTGTGCGAAGTCATGGAGCCAGGTTCTAAAGGCTGAAGAGAACAGAGTGAAATGGCAATGTGCTACTGAAGCCCCATGTTCTACTAGGAACCCAAGGGACAAATAATAATAATACTGATACAAATTTAGTCGACAAGGTTGGATTGTTCAAACCCACTAGATATGACATAGGTGAAAAAGTAAATCAAAAAAGGAACAGCAATTTAATAATCATTATGCAAATTGTACCATTCATATTGAAATTTCTCCCAATCGAGAATTGATGCATGCGTTGCCTGATCAAATGTGACAAGGCTAAGATGAGATGACAACTGATGAACTCATTGTCTTGTAATATGGTTGAAGTTAAACCGACTGCTAAGAATCAATGTGTGAATAGTCTATTCATGAAGCAGCTTAAAATAAGTAACGATTTTTATCGAAATCTTGAAAATCTCGTTACTTATTTCTCTCTCTTCCGACTTATTTTTCTCTTTCTGTTTACTGAGATAATGTTTTGCTTAAATTGATTTTCTCTCTTCCTGTCATTATGAAATATGGCATGCTTGGCTCTATGCTACTATATTTGTCTATCTCTCACGAGAAATTACTCCAAATATACAATCCTATAACATGATTCATCTACTTGAAATCCTATTATTAGCATATGCGCTAGTCGCCTGATTTTTCATGCTTTGAATGTGTTGTCAGCTGTAAAATACATAAACATTTTGAACTGACATCTTTGACATTTAACCGTGACGCCTTACAGTATACACAGAATAGTCAACAAATGGTAGCCAATGTAGCTTATAAACTCCTAAATGTTAGTTGAAGTTTATCAATCAAGTTGATAAACTGGCCATTCAGTAAAGCAACATGATATTATCATGTACTAGGTTCACCGTTATAAATTGTTAAAAGTCAGTCGACAGGAAGTCCTGGACTAGTAATAATCATGACTACAGCGAATCCAAAACTTTTGAGGAACTTATATATCGAGTCTGCAACACGAGTGCTGAAGTCAGAAAATTCGCCACCAAGCTATTTGAGCCAGTGTTCAAGGTATATATATGCTTATTCGTGAAGTGACAGAACAATCTAAACATTAGTTAACTCTTCCTACCTTATTGTAGACAACTAACCAACATTGATACAAACAGTAGGATGAGATAGAGTCTACGCTTAAAATAAAACTTTTCTTTAAAAACTTCATAGTAGGTTAAACTAATCACAAGTGGTAATCTAAACACAAATTTTTTTCACGTTGGTATTTGTCGTAGAATGATATCAGTTGTAGGAACATTGGAAACCTGGGATAACTGAACAGCTGTTTCGTCCTAGTATGGGACTCCTAAGCAATGCGCACCCATGACCGCTACCCGCCAGGGATCGAACCTGAGACCTTCACGTTTCGTGGAACCTGAAGGCCATGACTCCAGTACCTAGCAAGGTCGTGACTGTGCAATGCTGAGGAGTCCCATACTAGGACGAAACAGCTGTTCAGTGCTCCCAGGTTTCCAAAGTTTCTCCAACTGATATCAGTCCACGATGAATACAAACTTGAAAAAATCTCTACATCACTTCAAACCGCCAAATACAAATAAATTCACCTTGTTTAACTGAAGCGAATTTACCATTATGTGCCAATATACCGATTTGTAAGGCAGCATGTTCAATTAAGAAGAGTTCTTCTTTACCAATATTTGTTGTATTTGTTTTCACTTTAGTTGTTCCAGGTCCTATTGTAGTTAAATAGTAGCCTTTTTGATCACGAAAAGCAAATGTTCCTGGATTACCTATACAAGAAAATAGAATCAGTAAAGCGACGGTTATTATTACTATTACTGAATAATGAAAGCACTCAAAAGCCTCCTACAGGTTCGGTAGATACATCTACTGTCAGACTGTAAAAGGAAATATCTATCTGTATAAATATAAACAGGTGAAGCGCTCTTCAAAACTAATAGCTGATTGGTTGTAAGTCGATTCCATGAAGTTAATCAACCACAGATCCATAAAGTCATAGATTTTGGATCTCAATGTTCCACTGGATACAACATTATATAACAGTTATTTACACTGTTTGATATAAAGAAGTGAACAGGAAAGCTAGTTAGAGCATTGAAAAGGTGAGCTTTAGTCAATTGACCCAACTTTGTATGAATTTTGAAGGAATTGTGGAGATTTGGAGATATTTCAAGTTATTATTCATCGTAGACTGACATCAGTTGGAATAACAAAGGAAACCTGGCAGCACTGGACAGCTGTTTTGTCCCACTTGCATGGGACTCCTCAGCAGTACGCACCCACAACTCCGCCTTCCACGGATCGAACCCAAGACCTTCAGGTTCCACTGCCAGCACGTTACCATTGAGCCACTGGGTCAGAATCCAATGGTGCATATTTCAAACTTCCCAAAGTTCCAATGAGGAGTCGTGAACGGTGGAGTCAAAGCCTGATGGTCGTGAGGACAGTTACTCAACGATGAGATTGGGTGACGGTTGCGCTATATCGTGAGGTAACAGAAGTTGGAAATATGGATCATTGGATTCTGACCCAGTGGCTCAATGGTAACGTGCTGGCAGTGGAACCTGAAGGTCGCAGGTTCGATCCGTGGAAGGCGGGGTCGTGGGTGCGCACTGCTGAGGAGTCCCATGCAAGTGGGACAAAACAGCTGTCCAGTGCTCCCAGGTTTCCTTTGTTCCTCCAACTGATGTCAGTCTACGATGAATACCAACTTTGTTTGTCAAAAAAGTTTTCCTTAATTTTTCTTTTATACCTTACGTATAGTAAGCTAGTATCAGTGATAATCAGAGGTAACGTAGACGATATAGGCACATTGGTTGTCATATATATTAGACAAATGAAATTATCTAGAAACCAGATAACACACCTACTATTAACATGAGATTGTTTACTTGAATAGTAGTACTTGTCAACTGGAAACCCTTCAGTCAATTCATGTAAAATGGTCAATAAGGTAAGTGTACTGCACTATCATTGAATTATTGGAGTTAAGTTTAAACATGAGTAGTTTGCTTTTCGATATCTATGAATAGGAGATAACTGAAATCTGTATAAGTCACCACCTTTGATTTTAAGGGAGATTTACATACAAAGTTAATATATTTCTACAATGACAGCTTGAACTGCAGTACCCAAACAAATAAGGTTAACACCTTGGAGAAGTTTTTGTTTCATGCTAGCGAATAAGAAATCTGTGCTAAAAATTCTCTAAATTCTTTTTACTTAATCAATCTATTTATTCATCATTAATACATAATAACTAATTATAGTAGCCAATTTCTCATGTAAATCACAGTAATGTTAGATGCACAGTAGCCAAACTCAACATGTAAATACACCAAGGGAATATAATATAGACAGTGAATCCAGATAACTGAAAAATAATCATAAACAGATAACCTATTCTAACTATTGATAACCCAGTATAATTAATGAAAACTGCTTTTTCTTCAACAATTAATGTTAGTATAATTGCTTCTATCCCGGATGGGAAACACATCACTCACAGAGAGGAAGGTACATCAAGCTGACGAGTCCTAAATAGGACGAAATGCGCATCCTGGATTCCACTGTTAGTTATTATCCATAAATACTACAACTAAAGAAAAGCACAGGTAATATCGAGGCATCTGCACAGGAGTCCATATACCAATCGAGACCGATCAATTCGGTCCAATCAACGACCGTATAATACACTCAATTATACTAAAACTATACCCGTCTCACAAGAAGTGGCTATCGTGACTCGGTGGTGTGCCTATTTTCGAATATCCCTACCTTACGACTCTTTAATCAACCTAGAGTCCCTAAGACAACTGAAAAGATTCATGATTTACACACCTATTCGAACTAAAATGCTGCTCCAGGGTTGCTTTACACTTTTGCCTAATTGTTGCGTTAACTTTAAGTTGTCGGTCACAGATAAAATCTTGGCACCAATGCGATACTTACAGGTAGCGGCATAAAGGCAACCTCAGCAGAGAAATTGTTTTCAAATCATGATTTATGCGTGTGCTGACATGATAACGTGATTGGACAAAATTCAACGTCATACGACCAATCCGATTGGTTTATTTATGGTTTAATTTTCTGAGGGTTTTGTAAATATACATACACCATGTATTTGCCTGGTAAAGTTATTGTCCTCAAAGTCACAGGCCAGTCTTTTGTATTCTGACATCTCAATGGCTTAGTAAAGCAGAATAAACTGAGGGAGATCAGTCGTAACAGTATTCGGTTGAGGTGTCTATTGAGTCTCAGTATCATTATACTTGCACACGTAAATCCATTCGGTCATAACAAGAAATATTACTTGTTAAAACTGTTGTGCATAGATATATGCTAGAGTTGCATCTGATTGGTCGAATTCGATACACAACTTCCAACTGAAGGGGGCCAGGAGTATGAATCCTATTCCACTTACGGAAATTTAAGTAACCATGTCAAACCACAGCTTTCATACAATAACTATGGTTGACTCATTGTCTAATAGTGCATGAACCTATACATGGTGTATCGCTTTGCAAAACCATCATCGTTAGCATTGTAATAAACTTTAGGTACCTAGAAATCCGTATGTATGCAAACGAACAACGTAGAACCTTGTACAAAGGTTCAGTAGTTTCAGTCACAATACTATGAAACAAGTTCAAACTATTATGAGTCAGCAAACACTCAATTCTGTTCATTTCAATTACTCCAAAGGTATACACTCACACTGTAGTTGCATAACAGATGCCTTGATAATACAGACACGTACAATCGTTAAATTCCTTCGCTGTGTTAAAAGGATAGTTTGCCAATCGTTTGGTTTCTTTTATCAACATCCAAAAATAATCACTTTTTTCAAGGCATTGTAATTTTGAAAACTATAAAGTTGACTAACACACACCATTTAGCGATTTGAAATTAACTTTAAAATGGGACTTTTAAAGGTGTAATGAGAAAGTATGACGTGATGCCCAAAACTAAGTCAGTAATGTAGACAGATTCCCTACTGATAACAACGGTGAAAGACAGTTACGCTAAACTAAAGGTTATCTGAAGTTATCAAACCAGCAATGGGCAATAACTAACTAGACATAAGTGTAGAATGCCTTAAGATTCATTCACAACTATGGGAAGATTCGTGTAGTAGGTGACGAACCACATCTATTGTGACAATACCTGGTTGATTAAACCCCAATAACCGGGGCGACCTTTGAACCCATAAGCTAATAGTTTAAAGTCAAGGGTCTAGACCAAAGAGCCATAGACTTACAGGCTCAGCTTGAAAGACGATTGATTGTTAACAGTTCTGAAGATCTTGAGTTTACCAGGTTTTCTTTCGGTTTAGAAAACCTCCTACATCAATTAGATCGCTTGACAACCATAGTACAGAAAAATGAAAATGAGAATTCATGAAGTGTGATATCATCTCAACTAAACAAGCCAACCAACCTGGACGATATTCAATAGAAAACAAAGTAGAGTCATCCATTTCATCAGACATCTCTCCACTAGGCTTTAAATACTTTCCATTCGGCATTCTGAAGGCAACACGACCAAGACGTGATACTGCAACTTTACCAACCACAGGAACACTTGGACCTCGAGCTAAACCTTGACCTGTGGCCATTGTAGGTTGTTCAATCCAAATAACAGATTCTGAACCCCATGGGTAAGGTTGATCAGCTCGAAGCTCAAGGCCATCATTTAGGAGACGTAGGTAACGTGAACGGAATTGATGACGAATATGCACCTTCAAAGAAAGAAACAATAGTTAAATGAAATTCAATCAACTGTTTAGCTAAAATATCCTTAAAGCAAGTTTAAGTAGTTCATAATTTTTAAGAAAAATGTAAACTTCTCCCTTAAAATTCTGAGATCATATATTTATAAACTGAATATTATCTGTTCATCTGACGCGTTGTGTCTGGTTGCTGCTGGAAACAGTTTGTGGAATGATGACAATGGAATTAGAAGGCTATCCACAAGTCCATATAACAGTCTATAAGTTACAAATACTATATATGATGGCCAAAAATAATATTTAACCGCTTGAATCTTGATATGTATGGCAAGGGACCCAAGACAATAAATGGTCAGTGGTTACGAGTCAATCACTTACCAAATTCACCCGGCTCATTATAACATAGATAACTTACCCAAGTATCACTTGACAGGTAAGTTGTATCTAAGGCTGAAATTATCATTAAAATCTTGAAAAGAATGTACAAAGCTCAACTGGCATCTTTAGTTAATTTTTGCTGAGAATACTCACACTTGTCTGTCTGCTAGGACGTTGACATCTAGTGAAACGAAAGTCTTCAACTTGATACATGACCTTGAAATACTTATGTCCAATTAAGAATAATGGATAAAACGGCTAATGTTCAATGTCGGGGATAAATGTTGACGATTCTCCTGAAGTTAAAAAAACCTACCACAATTCCAAGTGTTCAGGATTCATATCTACCAATGCAGTTAAGGTGTAGTGCATAATCACAATATGGATGTAAACTCCAGAATACAAATGCTGTAAGTCATCCATAAGTAATAATAATAATGTGACTAATACGCTTTACAGACAATTCGGAAAACGAACTGTAGCAACGTGAGATGAATTAAATTTCGGTTCGCACCCTTAAGACACATTTTCCTTAAGACTAATAATAAGTATATACTAGTGATAGATAGTGGTTAACAGTGAAATCCAGGATGCTCATTCCCTCCTACTTGGATGTTGTTCCTATCGGGATTCAAACTCGGGACCGATCGCTCCAAACGCCTGAGCGTTATCCACTACATCACCGAACCACGACAGTCACTCCTTGTGCGATGGGTGATTCGGTGGTCTACTGGATAACGCTCTGGCGCTTGAAGTGACCGCTCCCAAGTTCGAACCCCGATGGGAACAACACTCATTGGAAGGCAAGTACATTCAGCTGACGAGTCTTAAATAGGACGAAATGCGCATCCTTGATCCCACTGTTAGCTATTATCCATCATTACTATATAATTAAAAACACAGGCAATTTCGAGACATCCGCGCAGAAGCCCGTATGCCAATAGAGATCGATCAATTGTGTCCAATCGACGACGGTATAATACAAGTAATAACACTAATAATAAGTATGTAAACAATTTTTCTGAACAGTTGAAAAAATTGACAACTTGAACTGATGCACTTTTATACAATATTATTCTACGTAGATTTCTTTGCCTGTCTGTTTGATAGTTAGAAAAATGACTTGCCTTTTATTACGTAACTGGTTTAACTTATACAGATGGAATAAGTGAGGAAAAGCCTATGCAAAACTACTAACCATAGAAATGAACGAAATATCATGTAACTCAGCGGCTGTGAGACTTTCATGCACTACGTATCGTGTGACAGTTGGTGGTGCTACCTGACTGATCGACATGTAGTAAGTAGGTGGAGAAGAGTTAAGAATGATCGTATGTTTAGAATTCAGATATCTGGAGCAGTGACTGAACCATAAAAACGAAGGTGCACACAAGTCGGAACACAGAGTAAATCCTCTAGGCGAATACAGTCTTGCAAGATGAAAACGTACGTAGCAACCGAAGAGAAGGGGAAGAAAAACAGGGTCATCGCCAAACAAAACAAGATATGACAACAGAATAATCGTACACTTTATATGACTAGTAATCTTGAAAGCCAAGAAACGAAACAAATACTTTAAGAACCCACTGATGGAAATGGACTAACACAAAGAAGAGAAGAATTACAAGCGACAATTAAGGTCTGTGATCAACATACAACACGATAGCAAGAAAATATAAGACTGAACAGCATAGAATCTTGAATGAAAGTGGATCCGTTCGAGCTGCCACAATTTAGGACAGCATAGAAATTAAACGAGGGTAGAGACGACAGCCCTTTGAAGTGAAGAAAGGAGTAAAACAAGGCTGTCTACTATCACCGATTATCTTCCTCATTGTGGTCGACTGGATCATGCAGCAAGCAGTGAGGAGTGAGAAGAGGGGGATACGCTGGCTACACCGGGGGGAAGATTCTAGAAGATTTGGATTTCGCTAATGATGACTTGTGCCTAATGTCGCACAAACTTGAAGATCTACAAGCAAAATCCAACAAGTTGACAGAAGAGGCAAGGCAGCGAAGACAGGACTTCGAGTGAATATAGAGGAGACAGGGATGATGAAGATACCCAACCAACAGCAACAAACACCAATCACCATCAACGGGAGGAACTTAAAGGAAGTAGCCTCCTTCACCTACCTAGGCAGCACTGTTTCAGCTGCAGGCAGCACAGACGAGGACATCAAAGCCAGGATCGGAAAAGCAACACAGGCCTTCATTAACCTGAAACCAGTGTGATCTTCTGCACTGCACTCAGTATAAAGCGTGAACAAGATGCGGATTTTCAATACCAATTCAGTCAAGTCAGTACTCCTATATGGTTCAGAAACTTGGCGTGTCACGAAAAGCATTTCCAACAAACTGCAGACATTCATCAACAACTGCCACCTACGCTCACTCGATACCGAAGATCAGATGGCCAGCCACAAAGAGTAAGCAGCAATGAACTCACTCTGGCAACGAACCAACCAACAACCTATCACCCAACAAATATTCAGAAGAAGAAGGTGAAGATCGATTGGATTGGCCATACACTGAGAAGGCCGATTGGGGACATCATGTGCCAGACTAGGCCTTCGAGTGGAACCCAGATGGGAAACAACGAGTTGGGTGTCCGAGGCGACGGTGACATGGAGATCGTGTGAAGAAGAAATGAGAGCTTCTGAGCTGTCGTGGAGCCAGGTTCAAAAGTTTGCAGAGAAGAGAGTGGAGTGGAGACGTGCTACTGAAGCCGTATGTTCCACTAGGAACCCAAGGGACAAATAATAATATAATAATAGAAACGACAGCAAAAAAACTTACTTGAGGATGTGTAGCTAAACGAACTGACCACCAAACAGGAGACTTAGAAAAGCATGAAACTTGAGTATCTGAACCAGATAAATAGAAACCATATGTGTCGGATTTGAAAGCCCATTCACCGGTACCATCTGGTGCAAATTCCAAACGGAAACGTTCCTCAGAATCTAGAAAACAGTAGAGAAGGATTTACAGCTAAGCCTGAAATGTATACTCTATTTACAACTTCGTCCATAGCTAAAATCAAAGGAAATCCTCTTCCAAACATATAACTCAACAGACGGATATGACTTACAACCAAGAAGCAAGCAGACGATACCAACACACAACTTGGTATTACTGTTACACCTTACATAGGCATTTCGAAGTAGAAGCCAAGATAAAGGTAGATGAAGAAATCGAAATGATATCCGCCATCGTAAAACACCAAGAGATTGAAGTGAAAGAGGACAAAGGGAAGGATAAGTGATAATGCTACTGAGAAATTGAGGCGTAGATGCACATTTCTCACCGTTATTGATTCTGCATCACACTGAATAGCCTCCAGTCAACTATCTCAGCGGTCTTGTAGCTGCCATCCAGGTAGCGTGCAAGATCCAAATCAACATTCACAGGCTTCATGGACTGGTTTCATTCCTAATATGATTCACCCTAGAGGGCTTTCCTGATTTAATCTTACCCTAGCTAACAGAAAGTGTCAGTGTAAGTGGTGGGTGGGTATGCGTAACAAGTAACTCAGTAACTTCATACAGTGATAGTGGTTCCAGAAGGGTTAACAGTGCTCATATATCTATGATTTAAAATACGTATTGACACGGCAGCAAACGATGTCTTTGAATTAATCTCTGAATCACTTTTGAAAGTTGTTTGTTGTGGTTTTTCATACTGAAGACTAGCTTTATATCTCCAGTTATTGAGTACAAGCAAATAATAATATCATACATTTGGAGGAAAGTTTTGTACTTAATGGCACATATTGGTAACGTATACCTAACACCTCACACTTTATGATGACTGACTGACAAAATTGACGTAGGATCTCACATACAAGTGCATCATCTCGAGTTGCCACGCTTTACAGTAGTATACAAAGAACGGGTGGTCAGGAAAAAAGTGATATCAATGTAGATACAGTAGTGTTAGAGAATATGCAATCTGTGAATATTCAAGCTTTAGATGTCAAGGAAGAAATACATCTGCACCAGTGTGACCGATTTTAAGCCATGCCACCAAGTGTCCTCAACCACTGATTCCTTTCGTCTTGGGGACCCCAACCAGGCAGCCTACATCTCCTAACATGGCTCAAATCAACAGTGAGAGACTTCATGGACTGGTACCAGGTCTTGGTCTGGTCGCTCTGATCCCTCTTCCATCTTAATCCAACTTCCCCTAGCATGACACGTCGAGGTGGGTGGTGGACCGACGCACGTAGTACATGTACAAACCACCTCAGTCAATCAAGGTTCACAATCTCATCAATCGACTTGACTATATTGCCTAGTACCTTTTTCCTGATCTCAAAATTGCTCACACGGTGATTCCATCACACGCGAGTAATGCTACGAAGACACCTATGATCGAAAAACTGTAACTGTTTCATGTGTCCTACTTGTAACGGCCATATTTCACAGCCGTACAACAGGATAGGACGGACTACAGTGAAGTATACTTGTCCTTTGATAGATAGCTGGACATCTCCCAACGTTACAGGTGATACGAATCAGCAAATGCTAAACAGGCTTTCTTAACTTGAGCTGAGATTTAGTCAGCAACTAGCTCGTGGGTGATGTTGTTCCCATAAGCAATTATATTAAAACTATACCCGTCTCACAACAAGTGGCTATTGTGGCTCAGTGGTGTAGTGGATAACGCCCTCGCGATTGAAGTGATCGTCCCGAGTCCGAATCCCGGTGGAACAAGATCAGTCATTGGGAGGCAAGTACATCCAGCTGACGAGTGCCAAGTAGAAAGAAATGAGCATCCTGGATTCCACTGTTAGTCACTATCCATCAATACTACAACTAAAGAAAAGCACAGGTAATATTGAGGCATCCGCACAGGAGCCCATATGCCAATAGAGACCAATTAATTGTGTCCAATCAACGACGGTGTAATACAAGCAATAATACTAAAGTTCCTTGTTTTGCTTACTTTCATTTATTACATTTACATTGATTCAAAGAATTCTGGTGATTACGAATTAATGGCTTCTATTTATTTTTTGGGAAGGTTTAATTTGTGATTATCCCGTTACGCTTAACTGCAATACAATTATCTATTACAGATGCATAGTGATGTCAAGTTATTTAACTTGGTAGTTTGTTATAAACTTCAATTAGAATAGTGTACTAGAAACATGGAGATAGTGATCAACGTCTAGTGACTGGTTTAAATAAATAAATAACACTTATAACATCTGGAAAATAATAAAGTATCTAAGACTGAAACTTATAAATTCCCAAAAAGTTTGATCAGGCTCAAAAATCGAAAATCATAACTTAACCTAAACAAAGCTATGAATGCATTTAATCAAATCTTTCCCAACTCAGCATGATATTTTGTTAATCAAATGTACAAAAGTATATTTTTACGTAAAAATGAATGGAAATGAAAAAAGACTAAAAACACACTTGTGATTTTTTAATTTAGAGGTAGTATTCATCATGGGCTGACGTCAGTCGGGGAACCATTGAAAGTCTGGGAGTAATGGACAGCTGTTTTGTCGTGGTACGGGAATCCTCAGCAGTACGTACCCACGACCCGGATAGGGATCGAACTCAGGACCTTCGGGTTTCACGGCGAACGGGTTAACTATTCAGCGACTGGGTCGGTGTGTACTGCTGAGGAGTCCCATACCACGAAGAAACAGACGTCCAATACTCCCAGATTTTCAATGGTTCCCCAACTGACGTCAGTCCATGATGAATACTAAATACCTCCAAATTGAAAAATCCCATTCACCTCAAAATTACATTTGTGTGTATAGTGCTCATCAGTGACTTCCTTCCAGATCGATACCACGAAGCTCTAATGAGAAGCCGTGACGTGTGGGGTCAACCAGCCGGAAGTGAAGCGGATGCTAACTGAAAATCTTGGGTGGCAGTCATGGTATATCGTGAATTGACGGAAGTTGGAAACTGTGAACCACTGAACTCCAACTCAGTGACTAAATGGTTAACGCGTTCGCCGTGAAACCCGAAGGCCCTGAGTTCGGTCCGTAACCAGGTCGTGGGTACGCACTGCTGAGGAGTCCCATACCACGAAGAAACAGACGTCCAATACTCCCAGATTTTCAATGGTTCCCCAACTGACGTCAGTCCATGATGACTACTAAATACCTCTAAATTAAAAAAGCCCATTCATCTCAAAAATAAATTTGTGATTGACACAATTCACGTTTAAAAGTACTCATTCTAATTCACATATTGAGGCTAAGGTGACTTCTAAAGGGTTATTTAATCCATCCATCAAGAATGTAATTCGATAATAATGATAAAAGGAAGGCTACATGGATTTCTTTTTATTGAGCTGATACCTACTGATAAGTCTGAATGCGGTTTCCTTCAAATCAACATGTCATGTTTCAATGATACCTCGATGATCCAACAGTAACATCAAGATCAATATAAGACTAGGCATTACTGCGTAACGGTTCAAGCTGACACACCTCATGTCAGCACGTCAAGTAACAAGGCAGTAAAATGGAAGATGAAGAAAAGAAAAATTGGTCAAAGGAAGTAAAGGTAGAAAGTGGTAAAAGAGAGAAAGAATGAGATGATGTGATTAAGTACAGAGATTGAAATGAGGATAATGTGTGTGTTTGTATCTGTTCCACTAACATCGGTTAGCAGCTATATCCACCTAGTCTCCAACCACTGGCCTCTCCTGTCCTACGGACCCCAAAACTCAACAACTGGACACACCTTAGATTCCTCTATCACAAAATATACAGATATGTACGGTTGAGGAATCCTAAAACAGGACGAAATGTTGACATCTTTTTAATACATAACTGTTGATCAAAACAATATCGATTTTTGGCAAAAATAAACTTCAGAGTAGCCAGAAATCCTTAACTCATGAACATAAAATTCATTCTCAACATTTCATTTTGATTAGTATTTGAGGATAACGGACTAAACTTCGACTCTCAGAGATTACTAAACAAGAAAGGTAGACAAATTATTGTACAACCTTCCACGGAAGTGTATCAGTTTAAGTAACCGCACTTAACAACGGTGCAGAAAGAGCAAATGAAAAGAAATAGAGTGATATTGAGATGAATGGGGATTTCTAATTTAGAAAATATATTAGTTGAGAGAGAATAACTAATGATTTCAGATTAGTATTCATCATGGACTGACATTAGTTGGAAAAACATTAGAAACCTGGGAGCACTGGACAGCTGTTTCGTCCTAGCATGGGACTCCTCAGTACGCCTATGATCCCACCAAAGATCCAACCCAGAACCTTCATATTCCATGGTCAGCACGTTACCATTCAACCACTGGGTCAGAATTCAGTGATCTATACTTTCTACCTCTGTCAGTCGATGATATATACCAACCTGAAAGCAATAAAATCCCCATAATCCTTCAAACTGAATAATTACCGTCTATGCGAAGTGTGTGAAGTTCAGAAGCGGATAAATCTACCCTATTGTGATCAATTTTATGAGATGATAGCAAGTCTCCAAACACTGATTCGTAACATACTGAGGTTGAATGTTATAAACTTCGAAGCTGTAGATCATCGAGCCATATCAAAAAAAGTAAAAATATCAAGTTCATTAAAAGACAGACGACTGAGGATATTCAGACTACTGAAAGGATTATCATTTTGACTATCTGAGATAGCCGTCATTTGGCAGACTAGTATTTATACTGGGTGATGATTGAAGGTGAAATGAAAACTTGGACTGCGGCCGGATTCGAACCGGCTCCCCCTTTCGAATTCACTTAGATTGGGATGAGTAGTCCTGACTTGGCAGCAGCCAGTGTGAATACGATCAATTGGTGGTAACACATCACGTATTCACATAGTAGTCGGGCAAAATCCATGGTGATTGAAATGAAATAAAATTCTGGTCAACAGTCGCACCTCGTAGGCGAGTTGGTAGAGCATCGGGCCGGACACCTGGCGGTTACTGGTTCGAATGCGATCGCGGTCGAAATTTCCATTTCACCTTCAATCATTACCCAGTATAAAAGATCCTCCACGAAAATAAAAATAAGACGATCAAAGACCGTAGGAAGCAGAAATTGAAGACAAAACAAAAAATACTTTTCAACATGTTCATAAAAGAATAGTCAATAACTTTAAGATCCATTATGTTAATTGTATGTAAATTTATGCAAGTGACGCAACAGGAAAAAAACATTCAATTTACCTGATTTCGGTGATGTGTTTATCTTTCCATCTTTGTTAACTGATAGAAAACGACCCAAAGAATTTTGTAAAAATAAAGTATCATTATGCTTTCGATCGGTGATTAGTGTCCAAACTTGGCGCCGTCTTAATGCTGTTCCAGAAATATTAATTTCATTGTTAAACACTTCTGCTGTAAGAAATCGTCCAGATGGGATATGTAAGATACCCAGCTTAAGACAATCACAAAAATCTTCACACATTCCGTTGTTAATCATTTATTTACTGAAAAATTTTAAGAAGTAAAGTAATTAACAATCACTTGAATATTTTCTCTAGTATGTTATGTAAGTAAAACTGTAGGTACGAGAGATAAAGGAAAACAAACAACAAGCCAATTTGGATTTTTGTTTAACAAATAGGCGAAAGTACTTCATAGATTATTAAACCCTATGATGAACCCAGTTTTTGTTTACTGTGAAATATAAAAAAATATGTTCATAAGTGAATACTTTAGCACCGATAAAGATTGTTTTCAGTACAACCATATAAGGGACCAGAATGGACGAACTATCGAAGAAGTCAAGCGCCTAGGTATATACGAACGCATGTGGTAAAGTGAAACCAAAACTTGATTTAAACACCAAAAACGGTAATCGCAGTACTATGAAGAAACCAATACAAAAGAGTATCTCACAAGCAATTTCTAGGAATTCATGACTAAAAATAGATCAAATAAGCAGGGATTTCCAGATCATCTAGACCAGATGTTTCAATACAACTCAAAAAGCATATAAGCCATAGAAGATTAATAATGCTAACTGTTTAGAATCTCAGTAGGTGGATGACAGTTGCAAACTATGACATATTAGTTCAACTTTGAATAATAAATCGACCTATGGCTCTTATAACGGATAACAAGAACCACACTAATCGAAGTATTTAGTTTTTGGGTAATCATACTGCAAAAAGGTGAGAAAGTAATTAACAATTGATAGTCATCAAAATACATAAGACCAAACAAAGGTAAACAATTGCTAATAACCACTATTATATATATATATATATATATATATATATATATATATATATATATATATATATATATATGAGCCAAATATTTCAAAAAAACAACTGATAATCCTCTGAACGTTGAAAAGATATTCCATAAATCAAGATGAAAATATGCATTCAAAGACAAAATCACTGTTTATATAGATGTACATTATGAAAATAAACACTTCCCGTAAATTGTAAACTTCACAGTTTTAACATAACTGAATTTAAGGAGAATAAAGTCAACTATTATACATAAGTAATTAATGGTACTTGTTACTATACATTCAAATGGTAATGACATCGACAATTAAGGTCTAAGAATCACTATATCGCTACAACCAATCATGCAAGTGTTTTAAATGTATTCACTTGTGATTGTATTACACTTTTAATATACTATTATTATTATTAGTCCCTTGGGTTCCTAGTGGAACATAGGGCTTCAGTAGCACGCCTCCAGTGACCTCTGTTCTCTGAGATCTTTTGAACCTGGTCCACAAGCCCACAGCCCACAAGCTCTCATTTCCTCCTCGCACGATCTCCTCCATGTCACCCTCGGACGTCCAACTCTTCACTTCCCATGGGGATTACACTCGAGTGCCTGGCCTGACGCGTGATGTCCTCAGTCGGCCTTCTCAGTGCATGGCCAATCCATCCCCACTTCCTCCCAGTGCATATTTGTTGCGTGATAGGTTCTTGGTTGGTTCGTTCCCAGAGTTCCTTGTTGCTTATTTTTTCTGGCCATCTGATCTTCAGCAGCGAGCGTAAGCAGTTGTTGATGAATATCTGTAGTTTATTGGAAATCCCTTTCGTGACGCGCCAAGTCTCTCAACCATAGAGAAGCACTGACTTGACGTTGGTGTTAAAATCCGGATCTTGTTCCACATGCTGAGTACAGTGCAGAAGATCTCCACACTGGTTTCAGGCTAATGAACGCCTGTCTTGCTTTTCCGATTCTGACTTTGACATCCTCGTCTGTGCCTGTGCCGCCACCTGTAGTTGAAACAGTGCTTCCTAGATAGGTGAAGGAGGTTACTTCCTTCAAGTTTCTCCCGTTGACGGTGATTGGAGTTTGTTGTTGTTGTTGATGGTGGTGGTGGTGCGGTATCTTCATCACTTCTGTCTTCTCTATATTCACCTGAAGTCCCGTCTTCGCTGCCTCTTCTGTCAACTTGTTAGTTTTTGCCTGTAGATCTTCAAGTTTATGTGACATTAGGCATAAGTCATCGTTGGCGAAATCCAGATCTTCTAGGTTCTTTTCCGTCGTCCAGTGTATCCCCCTCTTCTTGCTGCCCACTGTTTGCTGCATGATCTAGTCCACCACAATAAGGAATATCATGGGGGATAGTAGGCAACCTTGTTTCACTCCTGTCTTCACTTCAAAGGCATCACTGAGCTTCCCATTGTGGACTACTTGGCATGTGGCATCTTCATATAGTTGTTGAATGAGGCGGATAAAGGTTTGCGGTACTCCGTAGTATTGAAGCAGTTTCCAAATTACTTCTCGGTCGACGCTGTCAAAGGCCTTCTCAAAGTCGATGAAGTTGAGGTATAGAGCTGATTGCCATTCTACGCTCTGTTCTATGATGATACGAAGCGTTGCAATTTGGTCAGCACATGATTTGTACTTCCTGAAGCCTAATATATTAACCTACCAATATTTATACATCTCTTTATATATGTTTTCGAATTCCTTTTTGCTGGTTTTATTCCTCTAGTCAATATCGTTGTATTATTTTGTCAAAAGTGTGATAACTTGGATCAATCTATAGTTGAGCTAGGTTTTATGTGCTTTTATTAATGAGTTATCAGACAGTTAATCTTTGCTTTGATATTCCTATACAGAAATGGATACTTAATTGGATAGTGATCGCTGTAATAAATGGTTAAGTACTATAAAGATGACTTGTGGAGTTAGAATTTAGTCGTTCTCTGAAGAAAATAGTCCAAGAAATCAACAATTAAGATAGTAGTATGGTTTTCTGAGGAAACTGTTAATGGATTATTTATTGGTACTTGTAACTGCTTGTTTTTACGCTGGATTGAATTGAATGAACTCTGTTGGCATATGGATTCCGATGCAGATGCCTCGATATTACTTGATTACTGATTATGTTGTAATTTGCTGGATGATGGCTAGTAGTGGAATCCATACATCTACAGCTAGTTTCACTGAAAATGTCATAAAATTAGCGAACGTCAGTATTATTCAGTTATAAATATAAGCCCAAGTTGACAATACTTCATTTCCTGTAGCCTACTCGAGTTTAAAGGTATGACTAATACTTTTGTCTTTTCTTGATTTACTGTAGAAAGTATGAACGTGCTTCGGCACCGTAACTAAGACTTAGTTAGTCAGCTAACTAAAAAAGCTGCAAGCGAAAAATACAATAGTACTCTGGGTATAAACCAGTACTAACGAAACTGAACAACCTAATTATTCTCCGACATTGATCGCATAAGATATGGCTTCATAACGCCAGATGAAATCGTTAATCCTGGCAATTAACACTACCTCCAAGTTTAAACCTTCCGTAAACAGGAAAGACAAACAATTACTATAATATATAATATGACGTAATAAGTCGGGGACTACAGTTTACAAAAAGATGTAAAAGGCTTTCTTTGGTGGTATAACTGGAATATATTCTGACACAGACAAAGTGAATGTGACAGCACGATGTACCTGTACATCAGTGGGACAAACATTACTCACTGAGAAGCAGGGACATGCAGCTGACGAGTACCAAGTAGAACGAAACGTCCGTCCTGGATTCCTTTGCCAGTCACTAGGTAGACTACAATGAATATTCAGAGAGTACTGAGGCATCCACACAAGAGCACATCTGCCAACATAGATTGAACACTTCGACCCAGTATAATAAGAGAGAATTACAAGTATCAATAAACACCAAATGCGATACTACTGAAGAAAATTAGGAAATTATAAAGCAACTCAGTCAACTATGTGGAAATAAATTCACTGAATGAATCGTATTTTTGGGAGAACTTATCATTAGTTAAGTGGAGTCTGAGCGTATAAGCACAATGGTTAAGAACCGATCAATCAAACCGGTGAACCGCGACCGACAAGCTGACAAAACTTTATCCCCTTAGATCAATGAAAAACAATATGAAATAACCTTTTTTTTAAATAATTTGTAAAAACACTGGCTCCAGATGATTGACTACAAAGATATACCTTATCTCCAAGGAATTAAGACTGTACAAAAACCTTCAGCATGTAGTACAATGAATTCTAATGTGGAATGGTCAACGGACGAACTTTAATAGCTGGGTCCCTATAAGTCGTAAGCGAAATCTCATCACATCTCTTGCCACTCGCATTAGACGAATCTGCAGTTCCGATGTATTAGAAGAGGGAATTTCTGTTCTCAAGAACATCCTGATTGAAAACGGATTCCGACCACGCTTCATAGACAAACACATCAAACCTAAACCTCGCAAAGAGAACCTTACCACTGTGTACTTCTGTATGAATCTAAATTCAAAGGTGGTTCTGCCGCTGACACTCTAAAAAGGAGGCTATCAAACGCTCTAAGGAGAACATTCTTCGCATCAACACTGAGACTAGTAGTCTCTTGTCGCCCAACGATTTCTAACAACTCAATAGGGAAACTTTCGCATTTGACCACTTCTATATGCATATATCAATTCATCTGCTCTTGTGGAGCTACGTATATAGGTCGTTCGATGCGACTGTTATCTAAAAGGGTTCAAGAATACTATCCCAAGTATTTCAACGAAAAGTCTTTTTTTCGGCGATTTCATTTTCAAAGTTGTGCAATCGTGAATCTATGCATTTTTCTAGTGTAAAGATTTGATAGTTAAAAACGGTTTGTCAAGCATGGCAACACAAATAGTGTCAATAAATGAGTTGTCATTAAAATTTAAAAAAACCCAGAAAACTGATAAGTAGTGAATATCAATCAAAATAAGGTAAGACAAGAAGTTTCGTAACATGATGACATAACTGGAAATTGAATTGTGACCAGGTGGGACATAGCAACAAGAATGAGTAGCAATTTACTTAAGAAGTGAATAATGTCAAAATAGAAGAACGAAAAGAAAAAGGGAGGAGGTAGAAGAGACTTAAAACGAGGAGGTTTTTGAGATAGGGTGATGGTGTTCACGATGTGTTCAATTATAGGACTCCTTATCGCTCCATTGTTACTTGTTTGTTACCACATGGGATAGTGTTCTTGAACCCTTTTAGATAACAGTCGCATCGAACGACCTATATACGTAGCTCCACAAGAGCAGATGAATTGATATATGCATATAGAAGTGGTCAAATGCGAAAGTTTCCTTATTGAGTTGTTAGAAATCGTTGGGCGACAAGAGACTACTAGTCTCAGTGTTGATGCGAAGAATGTTCTCCTTAGAGCGTTTGATAGCCTCCTTTTTAGAGTGTCAGCGGCAGAATCACCTTCGAAGCTGCAAGACGATGAAAGCTTCACGATTAAACAACCCAACTCAGAGAACACAATGCAACCATGATATTTCACACACTGGAATCCGCTATTCATTCAATGAAATTACTGTCTTTTGTTAAGCTCAATCAAAAAAGTAGGTTTAAAGAAAATGAGTAACACAATTAAAAAGATTAATTTACAAAAGACATTATGAGCGATAGGCTTAGAAACTACTCAACAGACAATTAACGAAACCAGTTTAAAAAAAGTTAACATCCAATTACTTTATCTAAACAATGAGCCATAACAATTCGTATCCGCTCCACCAAACGAGAAAGTTAGGCATTTCTAGATATACTTAAATGATCTCTGCATCTAAGACGATGATTATGCAAAGCCGCACAATGCTGTCTTAAACAAAGCTTGTGTTAAGGAGTCTGAACTTATGAAAAAGAAAATTAAAGCCTTAGAATACTGACCTACACTTAAAAGTGAGGTTCTTCCTTGAACTATCCATCTATTTGTGTCATAGAGTTGGCACTCCACTATGAACTGTCAATCCAAGTATCAGTCATATAATAAAGGGTTCGAACTCTAACACGACTGTCTCACTAGGGAAAGTCAAGTACTTATGTTTTCACAATAATTACAGCGGCTCATAACATATTGTAAAAAGCGAGTAGCTATAAACCTTTTCGTCTCCAATAATTACAGGTTACAGAAAAACAGCTGAATAGATAGATAGATAGATGTACTGACAGGCTACCAAGGATGAATAATATTATGGTTTGTTTGCCAGAAGGATAAGCTAACATGTAATGATGAATTGAAACTGTCTACTTCATTTATTTTGACTGCAGACAGTAGGAAAAAAAAATAATTGCAAAACACTCGAAAAGAAGGTATGTAAGGCATCAATGAATATGGGAAGTGACCAAAAATTGGAACAAGTTTTCAAAAATTAGATACAAACTGATAATAATAGTCAATAACTTTATAGAACTTCTTATATTGGGCTAATTTACACATTGCATATGATAGTTATTGGTTTTATCCGACCACTGCACTGATTATGGAAACCAGGGTGACCCATATGGCCTAATAGTAGCTTCTGAGTCCATAAAAACCTGGCATAGGTTTGTAATTGCGAATAAACATGAGTTTCTCCAATCATACATGTAAGTTTTGCTAGTAAGTGCCAACAATCCCGAAACCAATGATCTACAGCTTCCTGTTGGATTACTTTTAAAACCAGAGACTAATTCAATCCACAATCCTAAGATTAAGTATCTAATCGTTGCATCACAACTACACAAAACGTAAGGTAAATCAAGTAAAACCAGACATTTCATAAGTGCATTCATTTGTCCTCCAAACGAAGAAAGTAATGTACTCTGTCGTTAAAAGAGTTACTAACCTATCGATTGACCTTTCTGATAGCATAAGTGTGAGAAATAAGTGGTAAGAGAAGTGAAAACCATTCGAAATTCTCTCATCTGCAAAATAATCTATCATACTCCAACAACCAGTACCACAATTCAGTACTTGAAGATTATTCTTCAAGCATAACGTAGAAAAAAGAATCCATTTTAAGTGCATTACTCCTTTTTTATTTTACCGAGTGCAAACAATTAGGCTAAGGCATTCAGTCTTCTGATAATATGGTGAATTGCTTTTTGAATGCAATGAGATCCAAATGATAAAGTGACATAAGCACGAGGAAATTAAAATCCTCCAGTTTATTGCAAAAATATGGTGAAACTGGTTTCAGCAAACGATTACTGAGTCTCAAGTAATCAGTCAACCATCCATTCATCCGAATCAACAGAGGACCAGGCATTAACTATGTAACCCTCCAAGTTGCCACTCAAAAGAAATATAAAGTATGAAAAGAGAGAAAGGAATAATGAGAAACAAGTGAGATTCGGTATAGCCTCGTTAAAATGAGGATAATGTGTGCATACATCTGTGCTACTGACATCGGTTCTCAGCCATGTCATCACATACAGTCTCCAACCACTGGTTTATCATGTCCCAAGAACCCCAAACACCTAGTCTGCATCGCCCCACATGGCTCAAACCAACAGTCAGAGACTTCATACATTGGTGCCATGTTTTAGTCTGGCCACCTCGAGCCTTTTTCTAGCCTGAACCTACCTCAACCGAAATCGTGTGACGAGGCAATCGGTGACTAGGTATAAGTAACATGTGTCCCAACCATCTCAATCGATGAAGGTTCACAACCACATCAACTCACTTACCTCTCCTCCCTAAAACTCTACGTCTGACTTCTGAGTTACTGACGTGATGACACCACGAAATACGGCCTATACTACGACGGCAAGGGTGGTCAAACACCTGAAGCCTTCTCAGTTGGCAATCGCAACCAGAATGCTATCTTATTTCTTTGATTTGTCAGAGACACCTAACGATAATTTCTTTCTACTAACCATACGAAAATATAGTGGAAACAACTAAAAAGTATGTTAAAACATCTACGTATTTGTATGTAGAGTCATATTTATCAAACGTTGTCAAACAATCAAAAGGGAAAAAGTACCTAATCATTCAGTAACAGTTAAGCAAGACAAGAATTTGATAACCATTTGATTTATAAACTTAGTGCTCGACAATAACCCTGAAGAGAACAAAAAATAGAAAGCTGCATAACTAGGTACTGTTAATAGTTGCTAAGAGAATAACCTCAGGCGAACTTGTACAAAGGTAGCGGGAAATGCGATTTAAGAAAATGAACTGTACAGTATCTCAAAATTACAACTGCCCTAATTAGAGAAATACACCACTAATCAAGCCTACGATCTATATGTAAAAAGTAGCCAGAGATAAAAAAGAAAATACCCAGGTAGTTACCATCAGCCTATAGATGCTAGTACTAAGATAAAGAAACGCATGAAATGCTTGAATAAAATTAGACCATTCATGCAAAAGTATACTATTCTGCTGAAGTCATTCTTGCTCTATTTAGAAAGAAATGTTTCTGATCATTACACAGTTGGGAAAGTGGACAGCTAGAAAATATGCCTCATTGGTAATCTATTTACCCAATGCTCAACTTATTCAACGCTATCAGGTAAAATTTCGATCCTGAAGTCCACAAAATACACTCAGCTATTTCGTATGATTTCATTGAGAAGAAGTTGCGATACCACCCTCTTCGAACTAATGAATTTTACAATTTGGAGAGCAAACTAACTTGTGGATGATTTATGCGGATTCAGACGTTCGGCCGGTTTATAGCTCTAGTACTCTTACTACACAAGGTTGACAGTGACTACCAAAAGCCAAATAATTTTACATAGAAACCTAATTTAAACAATTTTAAAAACAGTTTGAATATTGGCTTAAATGCTAAGTCGTGTTGAAACAAGTATGGAGGTAGATAAATCGAGGACATACTTATCAAATGAAAAACCTTGATTTCTAATCAACTAAATTCTGAACTGTAGCAGATGACTTGATATTTCTCAGAATGTCGAATCGGACCAGGAAAGAAATCAACCACTCATAGAATGATGAATAGTCGTCAACCAAGAAAAACAAAAAATCAACTAGGTAGTCAACAACTCAACGAGTGTAAAACAACATTTACAGACTAGAACCACTTGCTGAGAACATGTGTCTTGTACTTTAACGGATAGAACAGAAATCCCAGTCAGTCGGATTTACTCTCTACGAATGTGGAGACCAACATTTTGATAAAAATTCTCAGAGTTTAGCCACTAATTTCCTGAAAAACATTGGAAAAATCAGATGAGCCACCTAATTTTCTAGACTACAAGCATATGACTCATCAAGTAATCCTGTTTAAGAAACAATAGCATATAATAGCTGAAGTAACCCTGCCATAGTTCAGTGGATGCATGGTGCACTAGCTCAAGCATATGACTTCCAAGTAATCGGTCTGTTGTTCAAACCCCAATCCACCTTCACCTACCCTGGGGACTAAGAAGAACCATAACCCTAGCACAACAAGTGTGCCCAACCAAGTAGCAACAAAATAATTGAGGCAATAAGACTAGTCAGCAAAAACCGCCCAAAGTAAACGTTAACAAGAATGACAAAAAATGACAGTAAAACAAGGAAGCTTGACCAAGAACGAGTAATATCAGTTAAATTAGCAATCGAACTGAACTATAGTATATCATGTCAAAAGACAAAATATATTACAAGGAATCTTCTTACTGATTCTTGATAAATTCTACCTGCCTGTGAATATCGACCTCATCTGCTGGCTTGCCATTATGGTACCAAAAGCATTTTAACCGTCTGCTACTAGATATTTGTAGACAGGCTGATTGACATTTCTATGTGATTACTGAGCCTATGTCAAACTGGGTTATAGTTTTTTTCACTCTATAGGTAAGCTTTAATATAATACGATACTATACAATGAATCAACCTGACTCGGCACTCAACTTCTTTCAGGACATTCGTAACGACTATAGCCTGAATGGTTTATTATATATATATATATATATATATATATATATATATATATATATATATATATATATATATATATATTATAATGTATATATATAATATACTGAAAATGAACAACAATAAGTCCTTATTTCGGTCAAAACTAATTTGGATTTGCAAGGGATATCCTCCCAAATATAATTTAATCACAAAATGAATAACATCAAAAAATATGCTGACAACTCACATTCCTCTGTATAATAATTCTAATTCCAAAAAATACTAACAAGAAATAATTCAGATAGTGTCCGGATGGATTACAATTGTTTTTGTAGAACGTGTCAAGAGGCTGTCTAATAATATTGATTTATCTTATTAAATCTTCATTGGTTTGTTTGCTAAAGGTCAGCCTATCAGGCTAAATAAAAAAGCCAATCAGAATGCCAATAGGGGAGAGAGTTTGTGTAAGGACGATTAAATTACAAAGGTCTATGACTGACTCATGTTCTTTGTTGCTCACCACCGACTGTAGTATTGTTTGTAAAGACATTTCTCAATGGGCGTAAATCATTTACGACAGTATGTACACGTATTGATAAGTTGAAGAGACCTGGCCACTGACCGCAGTTTTTTTCTCGTACAACTGACTTGGATGATGTCACTTTTCAGGAAAATTATATCTCAAGACTTTCCTGTTTGACTCGTAGTTTTTCATAGACAGTTTGCGCGAACGCCCATACGTTGTCGACCAGACGGATAGCAAATAAATAAAAATAATACTGCTGATCGCTAAAATTATAAGTTATGATGAAGAAAAGTAGCTTGTTTTATCATATACGAACAATAGGAGGCGAGTAGCCAGCACATCCACTTAGAGATAGGAAATGAATCCACACAACGAAATTAAATACAGTAAAATTAAATAATCGTGGTATGGGGTCATGATTTAGACAGCCTCACCTCTTCATTGTCAAGCTCTACCTTTTGTCAGTTATTATTAAATGTAAGTGTATTCTGTGTACTTACTGAGTCTTTGGTTCACACTTTTCTCTTCCAGATTCTCGCGGTTACCACTAAACTCACACTTCGCTATCCAAAGTGAGATTTTGTCAGCAACCGGCCGGTTCCGGTTGATGCAGTTCCCCAAGTAAGTGAAGTGGTCAACACATTCCACCACTTCACTTCCTATCATTAAACTACAGGTACTTGTAGTAGACCAGTCATGAGCATCATCTTGCACCTGACAGGTGTGAAACTCAAAACATATTCAGATTTCTGCTCATCGCGTTCAGCGTCTTCACCTAGCAGGATGGTTTAGCCTGTATATTCTAAATCAACCGGATGACCTTCGGGGAGTAGGTCAATCCCCGAGAAGTCCGTCGGATGTACATAAGGTTATGCCCATTAGCATGTCTGTGACAAAGTTATGTAGGAACGGTGATAGTGGACATCCCTGCGGGACACCATTAGTTGTCGTCAATTCTGATAACAACTCTCCATAAGCCCATACATATCTGTGTGAGTTCGGATAGTGAGCTTTGATCAGCGTTTTGTGTACTTTCTCGGTACTCCCCTCATAGTCTAACACTGTTGCAGCACCTCGCCATCGACAGAGTCAAATGCCACCTTCAGGTCAACAAATATCGCAAGTATCAGCCACTGGTCATTAATTATGCTTGTGTTCCAGGACCTGTGGAAATACGACCGATGCACCCTCGACCAGGTCTGAAACCTGCATGGGTTTTTCGAGTTTTCCGTCCTTCAGCCCCAGTTAGGCATTAGATAAATATACAACCCAGGATCTTGGACAGAATATTAGTCAAACTAATTTTCCTATGGTTATCATCAGAAGATTTCTTCCCCATATAGGCTGGGATGATCAGTAAAGTAGATCATTCTGATGGCACCAGCTCTGATTCCCACACACTACCTAGTACCTCTGTCACTTTGTTCCCCACTTTCCTACCTCCATACTTGAGACCTTCGGTTGGTAAACCGTCAGGTCATGCTGCTTTGCATCGCTTCAGGTTCGATGCAGCTTCCTCAACTTCAAGGAGAGTTAGTGGGCCAATATCTACTTCCCATTCATTTTCAGGTTGGATTCTGGTCAACTGAAGCGTTGGTGAGGGCCTGTTGAACTGTGCTTCAAAGTTTTCTGCCCAAACTTCTAGCCATCTGTCTTGAGAGGTTATCAGTGTCTTATCCTTTTCAGTGGTGTTTCACCCACCAGCGTCTTCTTCTTGTCGGCATCCTTGATGAGCCTAAATGGTTGCGAAGTGTTACCCAACGCCGATGCCTTCTTCATCTCTCTCGCTTTTGCTACCCACCACTGATCACGATCTATGCAAAGATTCTTAATCAACTTACGTTTGAGTCACTTTCGCTGTTCATCGTGGTCACAGCAGGTTGGAATGAGTCTTCTTACGTCAATTAGTTCGGATAATATTTCGGAAATCCAGTGACGTTCGCTAGCCTGTGGAAGTAGGTTACCAACTGTCTTTGCCGCTGTTTCTACAGATCCATTCAATCGAACAGCACACACACTGCTGTTTACCCATATACAGTTGAGAAGCGCTCTTTTTGTTCTACAGCTCACAGCTATGCCGACGCAAGCGAATCCAACAGAGCTAGACAATGGGTCTCCGGATACTAGTAAGGTGAATTTTGAAGATTTACTTCAATGGCCAGGTGAGATCTAGTTAATAGCTGCATTCAGGTTCTGTATATGTGTCTCAGAGACACTGCATATATCCATGGTTAGAGATTCCAGAGTTCTAGCGAGCGATTGTCGCTGTCCGGTTTGGCATTGAGTTTGGATGTTGATAGCTTCTACGTCGATGGTGGGGTCTTAAAAAACTGGGAATGAGGTTTCGATGGCTTTGATTGTTGGCAATGATTGCAGAGTGAGAGGTTGAGAAGGTGCATGAGGCTTAATATTAGTATCAGGAGGTGAAGGTAAAGGAGTAGACCGAGTTGAGGAGGATAGGTTATGTTTGATTTGATCTTATGTACTACTGAAAGCGGTTGATGCCTTCCGGTTGCCCACACCGTGGAAGGCTATTTCTTCTTAAGGCACCTGAAAGAGAAAAAGATTTGTGTCACCCTCAGAGTCCAAGGGACGTCTGCTTGAAGTCTTTCATATGTGTTCTTTTGCGGGACGTTGTTTTTTGGTTTAGTTGTTCTGACTCCGGATGGAGAAAACCGATACAACCGGCGCTGCAAGACCGTGGAGTAGGGCAAAATGTACAGCTTTTAGGACCGACCTTTCCTAGCCCCACGCTTTGCACGGAGAAGTTAGAATCGGCGTGGCACTATTCGTCATCCAAGGGGAACACCCTACCTCTGTCTCATTCCCTTCTAGCCAGCATTACGACTCCGGCTCAGAAACCCATCGTGATGAAGTAATCTACGGTACAATGGTAACTCACCATGGTTCAAGAAGCACTCAGTGAAACGAATGAGAATGGAGAACTGTTTGCAGATTTCTGCGCATCCAACGACTTGGTGATTAGACGTAGCGTGTGCATACACAAGGAAATTCACAGAGTGATATGGATTTGATTTCAGCAGACACCAACGCTCTAAAAATCAGATCGACTTCATCTCACTCTCAAGAAAGTGGAGACGCAGCCTACTGGACACAACATCAGACCAAGAAGAGGAGCAAATGTAGGTTCACACCACTCACTGTCTAGTGCAAGCAACCTAACTTCAAAATCAAGTTGAAAGCCTTCAGAGAAGCTGATGATGACAGACCACAGTTCAAGTTGAACACCCACTGAGAACAGAAACTGAACTGAAGGAGGAAACTACAAAGAATGTCTTCACGTCAGCCATCAGGACAAAATGGGAGACATTGATCAACATTCTTGAAGGATCGGGCTTGGAAGAACACTAAAACTCTTTGAAAAAGATGTGGAAAGAAACCTGCACAACCGTATTAGGAATGAAGAAGAAAGAAGATAAGGAATGGATCTCGACGGACACATGGAAGCTGATAGAGCAGGGAGAGGAGGATAATGAGGCAGAAGATAAACCAGTGCAAGAATGCATAACGACAAGAGGAACTGAGTACAATGTATAAAACACTGGATAAAGAAGTAAAGAAGAGTGCTTGCAAAGACAAAAGACACTTCTACGAAACACTGGCAAGTGAAGCAGAACAGACTGCCGGCTGGTAGGAGAGACAGAGACCTGACAACATTGTATCAAAGAACCAGGTTACTATCTGTTATGGAAGAGATCAACGCAGACGAAACTAATCAAAGATAGTGAAGGAAAGCTAGTTACCAAAGAGGAGGAACAAAGGAAACAATAGGTTGACAACTTCAAAAAACTCTTGAACCGACCACCACCTGCAACTCGTCCAGAAATACCACCAGCAGCACAACTACAGAACTGCCAGTGAATACAAGCCCTCCAACGAAAGCAGAAGTCCTGAACGCCCTAAAGCTGCTGAAATGCGGCAAAGCGGAAGGACCAGATGGAATTTCTCCAGAGTCACTGAAAACTGACACACAGACAACAGCGGACATGTTCACACCACTATTTCAGAAGGTTTCGAAGGAAGGAAAGAAGGGGAAGTAACTGTCGATTGGAAGAAGGGCCACCTTGTCAAACTCCCAAAGAAAGGAGACCTAAGTCTTTGCAAGAACTGGCACGAAATCATGCTCCACCCCTCTACACCCAAAGCAAGCAAAATACTATGCCGCATCAACCTGCAGACACTGAAGGATGCGCTGGATTCAAAACTACAACCGGTACTGGCTGGCTGGCTGGCTGGCTGGCTGGCTGGCTGGCTGGCTGGCTGGCTGGCTGGCTGGCTGGCTGGCTGGCTGGCTGGCTGGCTGGCTGGCTGGCTGGCTGGCTGGCTGGCTGGCTGGCTGGCTGGCTGGCTGGCTGGCTGGCTGGCTGGCTGGCTGGCTGGCTGGCTGGCTGGCTGGCTGGCTGGCTGGCTGGATTCAGGAAGAACAAATCATGTGCAGATCAAATTCCGACGCAACGCTATGCGTCATCATAGAACACAGTATAGAATGACAGTCAACTCAACTCTACCTCACCTCAACTTCATCGACTTTGAAAAGGTCTTCGACAGCTTCGATTGACAAGTAATTTGACAGGCAGTTGCTTCAACACTACAGTTCTAGTGCCATAAACCTTTACCAACCTCATTCAACAGCAGCTATATGCCATATGATGCTACATGCAAAGTGATGCAGAATGGAGAGCTCAGCTCAGTGAGGCCTTTGCAGTGAAGACAGTAGGAACAAAAGGCTGCCGCCTACTATCACCCATGATCTTCCTCAGGCAACAAACAGTGAGGAGCGAGAAGATGGGCATACCCTGTTTAACCGAT